AGGAAGGAAGGAAGGAAGGAAGGAAGGAAGGAAGGAAGGAAGGAAGGAAGGAAGGAAGGAAGGAAGGAAGGAAGGAAGGAAGGAAGGAAGGAAGGAAGGAAGGAAGGAAGGAAGGAAGGAAGGAAGGAAGGAAGGAAGGAAGGAAGGAAGGAAGGAAGGAAGGAAGGAAGGAAGGAAGGAAGGAAGGAAGGAAGGAAGGAAGGAAGGAAGGAAGGAAGGAAGGATGGATGGATGGATGGATGGATGGATGGATGGATGGATGGATGGATGGATGGATGGATGAAAATCTAAACTACTTTCAAGTGTAAATAGTGACAGCAGCAGCTAGCTGTAGATAGCAGTGCTCTACTTTGATCTTTATCTTGTCCATTCAATCCAACTTCAACCATTTTTCTAACAGAGGTCATTCAAAGAGCAGGTAGAACAGGTAAAGTCCTGTTCATAACCTTTATAACATAATCCTACTTCAAAAGATAAGAACTATCCCTTTAAATTAGTTTCTGTTCAGCCTGCTTCTGCAGCTCCTTCAGTTTAAAAAAAAAATTACGTTTTTATCTTTAATATCTTCTGCTTCCTCGTCCTGCGTTTCAGTCGTTGGTCTTCCCCACCACCATGACAAAAATACACAAAAAATTTAAGTCAGATATAAAAGATAAAATGTAGCGGGGTCCAATAAGATAAATTTTACAAGTGTCTTGTTTTTTTATTAGAGTACAAAGCTGAAAGTGGGGCCGAATCAAGAAACTGGCTTCAGCATAAATGAGCACAATGAACCACCGACTCACGTCCAGCGCTGCTGGCTAAAACGGTCAAAGTCTCAGACAGCATTTATTTATCTCAACACAGACGAGCAGGATTGTTTTGAGCACAGCGAGCAATATAATTGTGAGTGGGTTGGAAAACATGCACGCTATTTATCTGTTCTCTTGAGGTGTTTTTGTGGAGTCTTTAATAATCATCAAACACATTTTGAAGCAGATGGCTTCAAGACAAAAAAAAAAAAACTACAACTTGAAAATAGGGTGGCATTTTCAAGCTACATGAAGAAACAAACAATTCTCCAGTTTGGAAATACACAATTACTAATCAAGCTGTCAATATTTGCATGCACATTGTCTAACCCCGTGCAACGCTCCAGTGCTTATTGGATTTCATTCAGTGGAAATGATTTGTGTTTGTGTTATGGAAGAGGGTGTGGAGTAAATGATTAACTATTTATCATGACATCAATAAATTAAATAAGCCTTCCTTGACGAGAGGCCCATTGCTCACCACCTAAGTTTTAAATAAAGATCAATTAGTGCTCAGAGTATATGATGGGGATGAGTTTCACGCCATATTTTAGTCCAATATTTGGAAAACTGATCCCATTAAAGCAACATTTTTTGCGAAATAAAGTGTATCAGCTTAATTTGCTTGAGCCAGAATTTAATTAATTGTAGATTTACATCCATTGATTACTTTCTGAGCGTTTGAAAACAGCCTTCACATGGTCTCATGAGTCATTTTGTTACTTTTGATATTTTCCAAATAACCAAATACTTTCTTGGAAAAACAAACAAATGAAAAAAAAAAAAAACACTGTAATTATTAAATAAGTAAGTAGAAACAATAAAGTGTGACTCATTTGCAAGGCAAGTGGTAAAAATAATCATGACATTTACAGGAATTATTTGACTGATGTTGTTTGTTTTTTTGTTGTATTTGCCAAAATTGTTACAATTAAAGGCCTCAACTTCCTTGAAGGTATCCACCATTATTTTAGAGGGTTTTTTTTAACTAACAATATCTATGACACATCTTGTAAATAACATTGTAAGCTACCTAATGTGTTGTTATAAAGACTTACATAATCTGTTAGCTTTTAATGTATGTGTTGAGGATGATTTTCAGGTTCTAAGACATTAACTTTAGCTCATCATCGGGAAAATTGATGAATTTATGGACATTTTGTGCTTTCTAAGATCAGTTGGTGATTGTACTAAGTTGGGCTGAATTCCAAAGTTAATGAGTTGCAGATGTATATCCAGTCATTACTTCATGTATTCAAAAAGCGTTCAATACAAAAACAACTGGCTTTTATTATATATATATATATATATATATATATATATATATATAT